TTGCTGGTGTGATCCAGTTCAGGTGAGGTCATCCTGGTTGGGTGGCCTCCACCCAACGACCAGTGTCCTGATAAGAAAGGCACAGACACATAGGGGAGAAGGCCATGTGAAGATGGAGGCAGAGATTGGAGTGATGCTTCTACAAGCCATGGAATGTCAAGGATTGCTGGCAGGACCACCAGAGGCTAGAAGAGGCGAGGAAGGATCTTACCCTACAAGTTTCAGGGGGAGCATGGCCCTTCTGTGCCCTTGATTTCAGACTTCTCGCCTCTAGAACTGTGAGAGACTACATGTCTACTGTCTTAAGCCACTCGGTTAGTGGTACTTTGTGACGGCAGCCCTGGGAAGCCCATACCCAGCCCTTTTCATCCTTTGTTTCTCAACCTAAATGCTACCTTTTTGAAGGGTTTGCCTGGACTCCCAACCACAACGCTGGTTAGATACTTGTAACACCTTTTACTTTTTCTCTACCCGGTGCTTATGACCCTGTGCTATTCTCTTCTAGAAACCTCCCCGATAGAATGTCTATGCTCTGGGGCGTCCGTGTTGTTCACTGCATGTCCTCAGTCTCTGTGTCCAGGGAGAGTCTTCCACACTTACAGATTTTCTTCATTTAAATCCATCTGTGTCATAAGATCCCCAGTCAGAAAGTTGCCCTGGGTGTTTCCCCTGGAAATCCTCAGTGTACAATTATTCAAATTGAGTTGCTTAACCAATGTCACTCCTCAGTTGCAGTAGACGCCAGAGAGATGTGAGAACCTTTGAGAACTTTCCAAGCCAGGGTCCATTCTTACTGTTTAGCCTGAATGTGTTTTCCTGCTAAGAACATGAACCAGAAATGAGTTTTACCAACGGGTTAGCAAAACCTTAAATAGAAAAGAAACTCCAAAAATGTCAGTTCTCTCACACTCCCTTTCCTCCTCAACTTCCCCTCCCCACCTCCTGTCACCAGGACCTCCCAGTCTTGGCTCCTGAGTCAGGACGAATGGTGGACCTCTCCAAATTCTGCTGTGTTTTCCCTCCCTGGCTTTTTAGATGGAGATGTCTGCTGGGTGCTTTTAAGTCCTTTTATTTATGCATTTATTTTTTCCCCAGTGCATATAAAAGTCATGTTTACACCATACTGTAGTTTACCAAGTGTGCAGTAGCGTTATTTTCCTCCAAAATGCAAGTGAGTTCAAAAAATACATCACTGCCAAAAAATGAAATGCCCAAACAGCTACAATAGTAATATCAAAGGTCATTGATCACAGATCACCATAACAAATATAATAATAACGATGAAGTTTGAAATATTGCAAGAATTCCCAAAATGTGACACAGAGACGTGAAGTGAGCAAATGCTGCTGAAACAATGGTGCTGATAGACTTTTAAGTCCTTTTAGAATTGACATCTCCCCTGAGACTCGTCTGTCACGTGCTATGTAGGTTTGGACTCTGACAGATACAGAATGGCCTTTATTGAGCACCTACTATGTGCCAGCTTTCAAACTAGGCAGTTTTACCCTCTGTAGCTTCTTTTTCGTTTAATCTGTTCCTGAGATCTTCATTCACTATGAAGTGATCTCAGTTCAGAGACATTTTACTGATGAGAGCACTGAAACTCAGAGAGGTTAAGTAATTTGCCTAAGGTCACACAGCCACTAAGTGGTGGAGCCCTTTTCAAATCTAGGTCTGTCTGACTTAAAAAGTAGTGGGGTTTTTAAAGCTAAGTTTTGCAACTGTAAAAAGCAACCCTAACTAGAAATTGCCTTATTAGTAGCAAGGGACTTTATTTTATAAGAATTTCACTGTGCCTGGGACTGCTGTGTCAGTGGTTATCAAGGAGTAGCCTGTTGGCAGGGGTTTTGACTGTTGGATTTATGGACCCAGGACCCTTGGTATGTGCTCAGGGCATCCTACAGCCCCGGCAAGCACTCCAGCCAGGGGTTATCTGCTCCTGGGACTGTGCTTTCTGACTCTGGGACATCAGGCTAGCCACATCTCTGCTCCAGCCTCAGTGTCCCCGATCATAAAATCAGGACTCAGATTCAATAATCTTTATGCTGCTGTCCTGCACTGATGATCTAGGATTTTAGCATCGTGAGGCTACAACACCCAATTCTTTCATACCCCTCAAACTCAAGCCTTCCAATTACATCTAGAGCACATGGCCTACACCAAAACTTCCAAGGCATTGTGCAAGTCCCTTCTGCCAGAGGCCCAACTCTCACCCTCTCTCCTCATCTCCTCAGCTCACCTCCTCTCCTCTCCTGGAGTAAGTACTGCTGAGGGCCCTGGGGTAACTGTCTTAACGTCTCTGAGCTCCCATGTCCTCTCTGAAATGATCTCAAATGAGTATAAACCCCTACCTCATTGGCTCATTGTGAGGCGTACGTGAAATGGAACAATAACCTTTGTTCACTTTCCAGGGACCTTAAACTATGCCAAGTCTTGACCTAGAAGCACATATTCTGGATGTGTTCAAATCTTGGCCTCACCTCTTACCCACTTACCCGCTGTGTGGAGCTGGGCAAGTCACTTTACTTCTCTGTGCCTCAGCTTCTTCTTTTGTAAAGTGGGAACAATACCAACCTACCCATCAGCTTGTTATGAGGGTGAAATGAGTTCCTACTTGTAGAGCACATAAAACAGTGTGGAGCACATGGCAAGTGCTGTTATAAGAATTACCAATTCCTTTTTTTTTTTTGATTTTTTAAATTTATTTTTGCCTGCATTGGGTCTTTGTTGCTGCGCGCGGGCTTCCTCTAATTGCAGCGAGCAGGGGCTACTCTTCGTTGCAGTGCGCGGGCTTCTCATTGCAGTGGCTTCTCTTGCTGCTGAGCATGGGCTCTAGGTGCGTGGGCTTCAGCAGTTGTGGCATGTGGGCTCAGAAGTTGTCGCTCGCGGGCTCTAGAGCGCAGGCCCGGTAGTTGCGGCGCACGGGCTTAGTTGCTCCGCGGCATGTGGGATCTTCCCGGACTAGGGCTTGAACCCATGTCCCCTGCATTGGCAGGTTGATTCTTAAACTTTGCGCCACCAGGGAAGTCTCAAGAGTTAACAATTCTTGTTAGGTCATCTAATTCTCAAATCAGCCTAATGTACGGGGTCCTGGTATTATCCTCATTTTATAAATAGGGAAGATCAGTAACTTGGCTAAGCCCTGAACCCATGCTGGCTGGCACGGTCTTAATCTTAAGCTATACTGACACAGAGATGAGAGAGGTCGACGTTTGGAGTTTAAAGGTCTGCCAGAGCCATCTTGAAATTCTCAATAAATTTTGTCTTCAAATGTGTGCTTTGTAAGTGAAGTCCTGCCCCAGTCACCTTCTCACCCCCCAAGATGGGATCCTGGCCACCCCATCCCTTGCCCTGGCCAAACCCGGCAGCTGCCCTCTGCTTCTGGTGGGGACCTGGGCACGGGGAGGGGCCCAGTGGTCGGGCAGAGCTGTGGACGTCTACGAGGGGCTGCGCTCCCCTGCAAGTACCCCCGGCCTGAGGGCACAGGACACGAACTAGCAAATAAAAGCCCCACAGCCGATAAAGACAGAGATCGCAGAATAAAGTAAAAAGCTTTTCTTTTTCCTTTTTGAATAAGAGGCCTTGCGTTTTCATTTTGCACCTGGTGGACCTTGCTAGTTACGCAGCCGGCCCTGCGTACATAGCAAGTCATGGGTGGAAATGAAATGGCAGCTCCTTTCCCCTTCAAAACAGCGACAACGGTAACAACAAATGCGTATTCCGGGTTCAGTAATTCAGGGCGGTTTGTTCTGACTTTTGATCCACAGGTAGAGACAAAGTCTCTTCATGCAGGCCCCAAAAGGGGGCACTTTTGCCGTTTCCCACAAAGATGGCTTCCCCAAAGCCTCCTAAGTCCTCAGTGTGATTTGCACCCAAAATATGGGCTGTTTTCCAGCCAGCAGCCCTGTTTGCTAGGGGATGATAGGAACATCTTATTTTTCCCTCCTTCTGTTGCTGTAATTCCCAATGCAGAGTGTTCTCTTTAAAAGATGCTGTGGGCGGGCTTCCCTGGTGGCGCAGTGGTTGGGGGTCCGCCTGCCGATGCAGGAGGCGCGGGTTCGTACCCCGGTCCGGGGTTACCCACGTGCCGCGGAGCGGCTGGGCCGTAGGCCGTGGCTGCTGGGCCTGCGCGTCCGGGGCCTGTGCTCCGCAGCGGGAGAGGCCGCGGCGGTGAGAGGCCCGCGTACCGCAAAAAAAAAAAAGATGCTGTGGGCAACTACTTTAAGCAAATATGGGCATCTCTGTGGCTTGCAAGGCTGGAGCCAGGCCTCGGAGGTCTGGAAGGGGGACCACACGGCCTGGGCATGGAGGCCCTGCCGACGGTCTCGGCAACTCAGTGCCACCCTCGGGACTCCTGGGAGGCAACTTAGGCCACAGCGCTAGAAGAGGGAGGAATCTCAGAGCTATGGGGCGGGAGAGCTCCTGGTCTGGTCGTTCTCATATCTAGCAGATGAGAACCCCTGGGGACAGCGTCAGCAGCAACTCCAGGCGATTCCAGGGCCACTGCGATGGGCATCCAGTGAGAGGCCTCAGATTAGAGTACGACAGCCAATGTGCTCTGCTGGGAGTGACGTCTCCTTGCTTGGGTACAGGCCCACATCCACCATATCGTGAGGATGGAACAGTCCAGGAAGAGTGAGGGATGCAGGAAGATCCTGCTAGCGGAGGCCAGTAATGGGGAAAGTTGGCCTGGGATTGGATGGGAGTTTGGGGGACAGCTGGGCCTCAGCCAGTTTCCTTACCTTGGATACTGTTCTGTCTTCAAGAGCCCGCTGCCTGAGCAGCTGGGCCAAACTCATTTCCACAGCTGCCTTGGGCATCTCTGAAACACTGGATGTAACAGTGTGGGCTGTGGACCCACTGAGGCATCTGTGCATCTTTATTGTTAGTAAGCCTGTTCTCACCTCTCCCCCAAAGGTACCCTTTCCGTCCGCCCCGCTGCTTCTAAGAAGAGCATCTTCAGCCAGCAAAACACTCCTTTTCTGTTTCTCTGTTCACAGGAGGAAGAAAGGAAGAGCGGGGAGCTGGGCACAAAAGACTTAGCCCATGGTGCCTTTTTGTGAGTTCTGCCACATCTCAGATGGGGTTCTCAGGTCAGAATCCAGATTAGCACGTTGAACTCCCAACATACAGTTGAATAACTCATATGCTTTTAACTCGTTTTTACCATTTTCTGATAGTAGTTGACCTTTACTGAGTCCTGTCTCTCAACTTGGCCCCCTTGCTGAGCTTTTCTACACACATGGTTCCTTTCCAATTGTATTGAGATTTAATTTGCATACAGCAAAATGCAAAGATCCGTAAGTATAGATTTTGGTGAGTTTTGATAAATGTATACACCCATGTACCCATCACCCCAATACAGGAACATAGGATGTTTCCATCACTGCAGAACGTTTCCTGGGCCTTCTTCCACTCAGCCTCCTTCCCCACCTGTACACGAAGGCGGCCACTGCTCTGACTTCTGTCACCGCAGCTTCGTTTCTCTCTTCTAGAACTTACGAATGGAAGTTTTGCTTTTTCATGTCTGTCTTCTTTTACTCCATGTAGCGTTTATGGCCTTCATCCAGGAATACCAGTAGCTGTTCCTTTTTATCACTATCTAATATTCCGTTGCCCGAATATTCCACACTCCGTTTATCCTTTGATCTCTTGACAGACATTTTTTCAAATTTTTGGTGATTATGAATAAGCCTGCTATGTGCTTTCACACACAAGCCTTTTTATAGACGTGTGTCTTGGGGAAATACCTAGGAGTGGAATCATTGGGTCATATGCTAAGTGTATTTTTAACTTTATAAGCAGGTGCCAAACCTTTTTTCCAAGTGGTCATATCAGCTTTTTACTCCCACCATGAGAGTATGAGAGTTCCAATTGCTCCCCCATCCTCACCAACACTTGCTATTGACAGTCTTTTTCATTTTGGCCATTCTAGTGGGTGTGAAGTGGTATCTCATCATTGCGATTTGCATTTCCCTGATGACTAATGACATTGCACACCTTTTCATGTAGTTATTGTATATATCTTCTTTTGCGAAGCATCTGTTTATGTCTTTCCCGCATCTGGGGAAGGGTCTTGTTTGTCTTAGCACATTGCAAGAGTTCTTAACACATTCTAGATACAAGCCCTTTGTCAGATATATGTGCTGCAAATATTTTCTTCTATCTGTGCCTATACTATCCCTTTTAACCCTCCCAGGAAACCTAGGAAGTGGATATCATCTCCACTTTGTTTTACAGAGCCCAAAACTGAAGCACAGAGAGGCTAAGTGAAATGCCCAAAGTCACACAGCTACTCAGTAGCCGAGTGGGAATGCAGACCCACTCGTGCGTGACTCAGAGCATTGACATCCAGAAAATTCCAGGGAGGATCTCTCCATACACTAAGCCTTGTATCTCCCTGGCAGCCTGGGTATGCCAGTGCTTGGGCTGGGTTATTTCAGTTCACACTCGCTCCCTCTGCCTTGCAAATACCAGACCATCCTGGGAAGTAGCCGGCTCCCAGAACTCAGCTGGGAGCACTGTCTTCTCGAGCGGATGCCATGGGGCTTTGAGCTGCTCTGATGAAAGACAAACTGCGGGTATTTTTACGGGTCTCTGAGGAAGCTGGCAGGACTACCTCGTGCCAGGAATAACAATGAGGGGCCTAGGCGAGCTCACTGCCAGCCCTGCTCTGGGAGACATCACTGGAGGAGGCGAGCCAGGCGGTGGGAAGGGAAGGGGGCCTGCGGGTGGGAGGGCAGGGCTGGGTTATTTATCCACAGCTGTCTCCAAGGAGGGCTGCTGGATCACCCCAGGGACTCTGAGCACGGGAAGGGGCCCCTGTGGTAGTCAGAGCAAAAGGCTGGGAGGTGTGTGACAGTGGGAACCACAGCCATGCCAATCATCAACATGCTAGTCAGAATAGCGAGCCTTTATTGAGGACCCCGTGTGCCAGGCACCGTGTTTGCATTTTGCCATCCCCATTAGGTGCCAGATATGGTGTAGCTGTTTTGCACTTACTAGCTTAATGCTCATAATAACCCCATGAGATACGTATTATTAAAATGCCCACAGGAGGAAACTGAGGTTCAGGGAGGTTAAGTAATTTGCCTAACGTCGCATCGTTTGTAAGCGGTTGCGGTTTGAATAGAGGTTTAGCTAATTCTAAAGCCCAGTCACTTAAATGCTCTGCTGCTTTTCTGTTCACAAACTTGTGTCAAATTCCTGTTTGGGTCAAGCACTACACAGGGTGACTTGACCAGGGGAATATAATGTTGAATAAGACCCATCCCTGTCTTTGGGCCGTGTGGTTAGTTGAACGGTGGCCCCGCCAGAAGATACGTCCACATCCCAGAATCTACAAATGTGAGCTCATCTGGCAAAATAGGTTTTGCAGAGGTAATTAAGTTAAGGATCTTGAGGTCGTCCTGGGTTATCTGGGTGGCCCTAAATCCAATGACAAGTGTCCTTACAAGAGACAGAAGGGAAGACAGAAGAGGAGAAGGCCATGTGAGGATGGAGTAGAGACTGGAGTTGTGCAGCCACAAGCCAAGGGATGCCTGGAGCCTCCAGACACTGCAAGAGGCAAAGAATTCTCCCCGTGGGCCTTGAAGGAAGGTTCATCAGACCCGACTTACTAGGTCCAGCCCAGACACTGGAGGGGATTATTCAAGGGCTTGGATCCTGGGAGGTGCGATCACTGGGGGCCATCGTAGAGGATGTCTCTCACAGTGGCAGAAGGCGGACTCCCACCTACTATTTGTGTGGCTCTCCCAAGTCATCTGGCTCCGGACTGTACGTGGAACATGTGTGGGCTCCTGAGCTGGATTCTTTATACATATCACACCACATAGTAACATTTAATGCTCACCTGAATTCAGCAAGGGGAGGCGTTCTCACCCCCATTTGACAGAGGGGGTAACTGAGGCTCAAAAGGTGAAGGCCACACGGTAGCATATAGAGTAAACCAGTGGTTCTTGACTTTGGCTGCATCAAAATCCCCAAAGAGAGTTTCTGGCCTCCACGCACAGAACTTTTGATTTAGTAGGTCTAGCATGGAGCTGGAGAGTTTGCATTTCAGAGAAGTTCTCAGGTGAAGCTGGTGCCGGAGGTCTGTGGACCACACTTTTAGAAGCACTGGAGAATCAGTGTTGCAGGGACAGGGGAACCCTGGAATGTTAGTGAATTAACAAATAAAATGTATTTCTTGCTCAAGTTGCAGTCCTGTTGGCATTAGTTGGCTCTCCTCCATCCATGCACTGTTTGGAGCCTGTGGTCCCCAGAGTTGCCACGGAAGAAAAAAGAAGGCAAGAGGGTCTTGTAGGATGTTTTAAAGGGTGAGGTCCGGAAGTGACTTTCCTGCCTTCTGCTCACACCGCATTGGCCAACACTCAGTCACATGGCCCCAAACAACTGCAAGGGAGACTGGGAAATGTAGTCTTCCTCAGGAGGAGGTGATGGTGCGATGAACATGCAGCTGGTCAGAGCCAGGCTAGGACTTGATCTGAGGCTCTTTCCCCCTTCATCTTTTGCTTTTTCAAGTGCTCTCAGTGGACTTTCTCATATTAGCCAGATTCAAGGGACTTTTTTTTCCTGTAAAAATTGGAAAAAGAGAAGAGGAAAGAAACGTTTCTTGGGTCCATCAGTGCATTCGGTTGCCGGCAGCCTTGTCTTCTACGGGGCCCAGGTGCTCAGCTGAACAGCTGCCAAGCACTTTGAAAGCTTGTAGCATTTCTGTAGGGGTTTCTTGCATGAGTTTCATTTCTACCATCTTAAGCAACGCAGGGTCACCCTCTCCAGCATTGGAGGAGCCCTGTGGCTACTGCTTCTTCAAGGCCTAAAGCCTGGACTCAGGGCCACAGACAAGCTCCAAGTGGAAAATATGCCGTTCCTGCCTCTCCTCACCCTGCTGCTCCAGACTGTTCCAAACGCCTCCAACACCTGCAGGTTCCAGTTTTCGTGCCTTTGGATACACTGTGACATCTGCCTGAATGAGCTCTCTTCCCTCCAGACTCAACTCAAGTGACACCAGCTCCATGAAGCCTTCATTGGTTAGTCAAATGAACATTCAACTTGCCCTCGTTTTGGAGCAGAGGTGGGGGAGACAGGCCTCTTTGTCTATGCAAAGTGGTCCAGCACTTGTCATGGCCTGTGCAGACTCTAAAGGCTTTTGTCCGTGCCTGTTTCTCCTCGCGGAATGTGAGGTGTTTAAGAACAAAGACCGCGTGGCCTCCTTTCCTGGCTTCTTCATTACCTGCAAGACTGAGGTCAAAAGTCTTCCTGTGAAATGCAAAACCCTCCCCAAGATCCAGAGGTGAAGAGTGAAGTCTCTGGCATGGGTTGGAATCCCAGCTCTGCCACTTGTGCAAGTTTGGGCAAATTCTTAGCTTCATTGGACTTCAGTTTTCCCATCGGTACAGTTGGGCTAATAATGTTGTACGTATTCCATGAAATAATATGCCTAAAGCCCTTTGAACAGTGCCAAGCGCATGGGAAACTGTCGAGGCATGCCAACTATCTCTCTGTTATCATCATTACTCTTGGTATTACCCTCTCAACCTTGGCACACACCAGTCACAGCAACTGACTTCCTTGCTGGCAGTTTTGGTGATTTTGCACGTCTCTCTGCTTTTGCACTTGGTGTTTTTCAGCTTGGATGTCCCTGTCTCTCACCTATTCATTCATTCATTTAACAAAGTTTTTGCTGAGCTCCCAACTACCCACACTCATCTCAGTCAGCCCTTCCTGGCCAGTCCCACTGGATTTACCACTCCTGCTTCGAAGTCTGTTTACTTTTTCTGTATCTCTGTGACTAACTTGAGAGCAGGAAAAAAAAAAAAAAAAGTTCTTTTCCCCACCGGATTTAACTGCTCTGAATCCAGGTCCTGATATCATGGGTGGCACGTAGTAGGAGCTTAATAAATACCTGTTGAATGAATACATGAATATTGATCATCTCCAAATCTGGCCCCAATGCCGGAGAATGCAATAACTTGGCATCAGGCATAGCAGGGGGATCTGTAAAGCTCGGGCATTGGGAGGTCCTTCAGGAAGATGAAATCACCAGCCGTGGAACAGCAGCCTGAGCTGGAATCTCTTTCCTTTAGTTACCAGGGGCTCAGCACCTCCAGAGGTGGGGTGGGAGTGGGTAGATCCCATGTGACATACTGTTTCCAGTGGATCTGGGCTTTTAAAATAATGATTAATATCATTATTAATGATGTTTCCTGATACAAGGAGAGAGGGCATCCTTTACAAGCACAGGGCTTGCTTCATGGAAAGCACCCAAGGTATGTTTGAATGATGAATGTCGGTCCAGTCTACAGAGCACATCCAGTTAGTTGACAACTATGTATTGATTGCCTTTTAGGGGTCAGGTGCTACTCTGGGTGCAGGAGATGGGGGGTGGGAGTTCTGCAGTAAACAAAATACAGAAGACCCCCGCCTTGGGGAGCTCACCTTCTAGAGGGAACAAGGAATTGAGCTAAGCTATTAGTTTGAATTTTCTCTCTCCTGCAGAGGTGGCCAGCTGCCCTCCCTGCCCCCCACCCCCCACCCACAGAATTTTCCTCTTCTTTTGTAGAGCAGTGGTTCTCAACTAGGGGGTGAGTTTGCACCCCAGAAGATATTTGACAATGTCTGGAGATAGTTTCATTTGCCATGAGCTAGGTGTGTCTGTGTTACTAGCATCTAGGAGATAGACGTTGAAGATGCTACCCAGCATCCTACCATGCGCAAGACAGCCCCACAAGAAAGACTCTTACAGCCTACAATACCAACAGCCCGACGTGGAGAGAGAAGGGGCTTCTTAGCAAGTGACTGCATTTCCCAGCTTCCTGTGAGGCTGGGTGTGGCCATGTGACTGGTTCTCGCCAATGGTGTGTGAACAGGAGTGCGGTGCCCACACCCAGGTGCAGAGCTTTTAATAAGTGGACAGACCTCCTTCCGCTTCCTCAGGTTGGAGGAAGAGAACAACAAGGTCCCAGGTGACAACGGAGCCACCTGGGGCCCTAAATCGCCACGTGGGGAGAGCTGTCTAGCCATCAAAGACGCTCTCCTTGGACCATCATGGGAATAAGAAATAAACTGCAGCGTTTCAACCCTATGCACTTCTGGGTCTCTCAGTGATAGCAATTTAACCTGCCCTAACTTCTGTAGTCTTGACAATGGTTCTTCAATGAGAAGAATAGCCAACATTTATTGAGCACACAATATGAGGCAGACACTAAGCTGTTTAAATGTAAGATCCCATTTTGTCATCATACCAACCCTATGAAATTGGTACTATCATTACCCTTTTTTTTTTACAGATAAAGAAACAAAAGTTCAAGGAGGTGAGCAGGGCACTTAAGTACCAAATGGAAGTTTTATGCCAGATCCCAGCCTCAACCACCAAAAGCCAGTTCCTTTCTCCATCCTTAATATCTCTTCATTTGAGCATCATCTCCCTGCAGGGTCACCGTAACTGTTCTCTCTTTGGTCCCTCTGCCTCCATTTTGGACACTGCAGGTAGGCTGACTTTTTGAAAACCAAATCTGCTAACTTCATCAGCTCTTGCTGCTTCTCCCTTAGGCCATACACCCTGGGCTTTGACTGTACTGCAAGAGGAAAGGATTATTCTTTTTCCAAAATTATTCTTGCTCTGCAGAGGGAATCACAGTTAAAGTAACAAGCTTCCCCTGTGTATTCTTAAGAGTTCAAGCAAGGATTGTTTGACCATCTCCTGGGAACACTGTTGAAAGGATTCTTACATTGGGTGGGAGGTTCATTCCAACCAGCCATTGCTACGGTTCTGCAAAACACAGCTAATCGCATAATGTAAAATGAACCCAGTTTTTCAACTTCGTTCAGCTCTCAGGTTCTATTTGTTCTATTAAAGACCGTATTGACTTTGGAGAGCAATTTGGAAGCCTTACACTATAGCAACTTTACTCCTAACTACACTCCCCAGAGAACTCTCGTGTGCAAAGGAGAAATGTAGGATTTATAACGCAAAAAACTGCTAAGCTAAGTATCCATCCACAGGAGAATGGACAAAATAAACTCCTACAAAGAGTATGATGGAGGAGTGAAAATAACTAAACTAGAGCTACGCGTGGCAAATACAGATGAATCTCAAAAACGTAATGTTAAGCATAAAAAGCATTTCGGAGAAGGATAAGGTAGAGTATGATGTCATAAGTAATGTTATATATTGTGCCAGTCCGGGTCCCAGCAGGAAACAGAAGGCACCCTTGGAATTCTAAAGAGAAGGAAAGGAAAGAGTCATTTACAGAGGTGGCAGGTGTGATAGATTGTTTCATGGCCACAAATGCCTCCCATCCCATTATGTATTCTTCCTTTGCTGCTCCTTTCATCCAGATGCAGAATTAGTTTCCATCCCTTTTAATCTGGGCTGGTTTTGTGACTTGTTTGAACGAATAGATTATGGCAAAACTGACTTGGAGTGAATTCCAGAGGCCTTGCAATTTCTGCTTTCACCCTTTTGGAATGCTTCAGATATCACGAAAAGAAGCCCACACTAGCCTACTGGAGGCCTCATGGAGAGAAAGATCCAAGCACCAGCCAACAGCAACCACCTGATACCCGAGTGAGACCATCCGGGACCAGCCAGCCCCCAGGTGAGCATCGGTTGGTTATAAATGTATCAGTGAGTCCAGCCATGACCGCTGCGAGCAGAAGAGCTTCCTAGCTGAGCCCTGCTCAAATCACCAGCCCACAGAATTATGAATTAAAAAACTGGTTAATGTTTCAAGCCGGTAAGTTGTAGGGTGGTTTGTTATGAGCATACAATCAACCTTGAAGAATTAAGGAACCAAGAAGTACTGAGGCCTCTAGGAACTACCAAGGTGGGAGTTTCCACAGCAGTGCAGTAGCATGTGCTACAGGAATGCAGTGGGGGGCTGGAGTCTCATCAGGGGGGCCACCTCAGAACCCCAGAACCGCAGCAGAGATGGAGTTGGGGAGAAGTGAGTACTCCAATCTCTCTCTCTTCCTCCCACCAGTCTCCTTCCAGGCCCTCCTACTGGCTGAGCCTGGTCAGAAACCAGAAGGCAAGGGAGACCGGGAGATGCCATTTTTGGGGGTCAGCCCCCTCGGACACAAAGAATGGATGTGGCTGGGACTGGGGGCAAACGGAGAATATACCAGGACGGGGTTGCTCCCAAACAGCAGACTGTAAGGACTGCTGTTCTCATTTAAGGGAATGAGAAACCGCACATCAGGAGAGAGGTTATCTCTGGGGAAGGAGGGATTTCTACCTTGAAGAAAGTAGGGGGTGCTTTCATATATATATATGTTTCCATACAGGCTCCACGTGCGAGGGAAGGAAAGGCATTTTAGGCAGGCTCACTGCACCTGACTCTCCACCATGCCCTTTCACAGAAGCCGTATATAAACTAGGTGTGTAGAACCATCCCATGAGAGTGTGGGCTAAATTACCTCTTCTTCCCAGGTAAGAGGGTCAGAGGGTGAGAGCAACCCCCGGCCCTGTTGCTCGGTGCAAGGGCTGCTGAGTTTCAGATTTAAGTCCGTCCACCTCCAGCACATTTGTCTGGATGAAAGACCCTCCCTGGTGTCATGGCAGGTACATACTTTTTGCCCATATCTGTCCGTTCCTTCTTCTCTGTTTCTCCCTTCTTTTTTTTTTTTAACATCTTTATTGGAGTATAATTGCTTTACAATGGTGTGTTAGTTTCTGCTATATAACAAAGTGAATCAGCTATACATATACATATATCCCCATATCTCCTCCCTCTTGCGTCTCCCTCCCTCCCACCCTCCCTATCCCACCCTCCCTATCCCACCCCTCTAGGTGGTCACAGAGCACGCAGCTGATCTCCCTGTGCTATGCGGCTGCCTCCCACTAGCCATCCATTTTACGTTTGGTAGTGTCTATACGTCCATGCCACTCTCTCACTTCATCCCAGCTTACCCTTCCCTTCTTTTCTTTTCAGTTGGAGGAAGAGAGAAAATGATCCCAGAATATTATTTGTCTAAGAGGAACGTTTGAGATAAAATAGGGTATGTGAGGCCTGCCATTAATCGTCCCCACAGCACCTGGCCTAGGTGGGAGTCGGGATCTATGGTGATGGATAGGAATGTTTTTCGAATTCAGCTGTCAAAGCCTGGCAATCATCCCTGCCTCCTGGGTGGAAAATTTACAATCTTCCTCTTTAGTGGCATCTTAAGACACACAGGCACTTTTGTTTCCATGGAGAGCCCACTCTTCCCTCTAAGGTAAATTGCCCGCTTGCCTGCCCTTCCTCCCGTCTTTCCCTCTTTCTCTCTATTTCTCCCTTTCCTTCTCTTTCTCCTTCATTTGCTTCCCAATTTCCTCTACCCTTTCCTCCTTCCACTGAGCTTCCCGGCAGCAGCAGGGCGGAATGAGAGCCTTTATCCCCCCCGCAGGGGAGGGCAGTGCGTGTCCTCCCCTGATGCTCCTGTGGAGAGGTTCTCAGAAGCCTCTGGGGCTGAGAAATTTCACCCTGGACCTTTGCATTGTTGTCTTCCTAAGAGCTTATTTTGCAAAGAGCTCAGAGCCGGGAGCAAGGCGGGCCCCAGGCCCCAGGAGGATGTTGCTGGTGGCCCGAGGCGTCTCACTTCATCTCTGTTTCTTCACTTGCAAAGTGAGGCTCAGCCTCCCCAGAGCCATCATGAAAAAATGCTGGCGAGGGTGGCAAATAGATTCCTTCCTGTTAGTCACCCAGGTCACTCAGCTGACACCTCTGCCTTTTGGCCCTGAAGTTTATTTATTAACAGCCTTCAAAGGGGGGCCAGGGGCCTCCTGGGGGTGGAGCCCTAAGAGGCCGAAAGCCATGGGCTTGGGCAGGTAGAGCAGGCGGGGCGCTCTGGGGCTGCCTTTGTAGTTTCTGGGGAGTTTCAGAGATGCCAGTGACCATCAAGAGCGGTGCCTGCGTGTTTGGAACCAAAGAGGAAGATAAAGCTAGTCTCAGAGCGTGTGTCTCTTGCCTGTAAGGAGCTCTAAATATGTGCCTCTGAGTGTGTTTGTACAGTGTGAAGGCGGCTCTGTGCACACACATGAGCACACCTACATGTGCCTGTGTCTGTGTGCGTGTGTCATGTGTCTATGAATGGATAGTATGAAGGTGAGTCTGTGCATACACACGAGGGTCTGCGTGATGTACACATGTATAGTATGAAGGTAGGTCTGTGTACACACAAGCACCCCTACGCGTGCACGTGGCAATGGTGTGTGCGTGTGTGCACGTGCACGCTCCCCATGGGTGGGCCTCAAGCACTTTGATCAAGAGCCACCACTTATTTTGCATCCGGCTCGAGGGTCCAGTTACAGAACATGAATCCTTAACATATAGTGAGAATGTTCAGATGTTCAGCTGAGTGGATGAGGTTGGCTTGGGAGGCTCGGTGCCCTACACAGAAGCCCCTCTATCCCCACACTGCCTGCGTGGGAGTGAGGCCTTTGCCTGAGAGCAGATTTGTGTCCCTGTGGCCTCGTTTTGCTCTGGGATGGGACTTGGTGGCAGGGAACTCAAGCTCAGGTGTTCATGCATTTCCAGAATTTGTCTGATTTTAACCAGGATTTCGTTAGGAGTAACTGCATGTGTGTGTGTGCTTGGCTCCAGCTAAATATGTGGTGATGCTTCTTTCCTTCTATCCTTCCTCCCTCGCGCCTTCCCTCTCCCTCTCCCTCCCACACATACTGTGCATCTTCTCTTTGCCAGGCCCTGTTCCATGGGCTAAGGATGCAAAAATGATTCAGAAATAGTCCCCATCGTGAGAAACAGCCAGTGTATTTAGGGTAAAAGGTAAGCAAGCTGCAGTAACAGAACATAGCCATGGAGGGGGACACCGGGCATTCTGGGGGCACAGACGGGAGCCCCTTGTCTCCCAGGGACCCCATGAAAGGCTTCCAGGATACAGCGATGCTTGAACTAGATCTAGAAAGTGGAGGAATTCACCAGCTTTGTAAGAATAGCTGCTATTGTTTTCAGAAGATGGTACTTTGGGGCACAGGACAGAGTCATCTACTCACGTTTGGAGGACTCTAAGAGGTCATAGGGCCTTTGTTAAAAATGATTGGTCTGTGATACAGCTTTGTACTAGAAAGATCCTGAAATGGGATGGCAAGCAATGCAGGGCAAGCAAGGATTAGAAGACGAGCCCTCTTTACTTCTATTTGCCAATTTAGACTTCCGAAGGAGGAAGGAATAAGTGTGAAGAAGGGAATGTGCACTTACTGAGCACCTACTGTGTGTCAGGCGCCTCTGGTCTCATTTTGTCCTCACCGACAGCTCTGTAGGTAGTAGGTTGGTTAACCCCATTGTACAGCTGGGGAGACTGAGACTCAGGTCTCAGACCAGGCAAAGAACAGGACTTTGAATCACAAGGTATATGGCTCAATTCCCAAGCCTGTGCCTCTTTCCAACAAACCCCATTGCCTACAAGAATCTTCTATAGAGAACATAGCACTGTGGCCAATAGACTTCTTGTCAAGGATCATAAGCTTGGAATTCAATATAAAGTCACTACTGTTCCTCCCCCAAAGAACAACCCGAATGCCTGCCCCTTTTGAAAAAACAGCATGTCTTGGTGGGACGGACTATTAATATACATCGTCATGACATCAGTATCGCAGGCTCTTTCTTTTGGGGAGCCAGGATGTTGCTGATTTGCATACTGCTTTGCATTCATTTGCATTTACTCTCCATATGCAAAATCAAATGCAGCTAATTAGTGCAACCTTGTTACAATGAGAAGCAGGCCCAACCTTCTGTGCCAGGGCATATGGAGCCCAGAACTGGGACCCAAACCACCCAAAGCCAGTCACATCTTGGGTCAGACACACTGGAGTGTTGAGAGGGAGATGCACACCCTGAATGAAAAATAGGATGGCTGAGTATCATTATTTTTCAACTATTGTCCCTTTTGAAGTAACTGTGGCAGAGCGAGAGGGTGAGGGGAGAGAGAGAGAGAGACAGAGATCAAAGGATGTGGCAGAATTTCCTCGGAGAAAGAGCACAGAATTTGGAGCCCAAAGGCCTCAGATGAAATCAGCATTGGAGTTTGGCTTTGCCACTTTCAGGCTGTGTGGACTTGTAGGGATTACATGGGAAAAAAATGGATGAGAATGTACTTTGCAAATGTTAAAGCACAATATAGAGGTCAGGGCTCCAGGCCAGGCCACCCTGTGACAGAAGGCAGCACCAGGGTCAGCTGGGGACAGAGGCTCACAGTCTTGCAGGGTCCAGACCCCAAATATGATGGGAAATATATCTATGTCCGTGTCTCTGTCTCTATCCCTATCAGCTAGCATTTGTGAGCACACGGACCAAACGCTGTGTTAAGCGCATCACAATCATTATTTCACTTAATGATTCCCACGAACACTCTGAGAGGCAGGTATTATTATGACCCCATTTACAGATACCACCACGGCAAAAACGCGCCTGCCAAGCACACCAAGATAACTCTTGCCAAATGATTCGGAACCTTCTCTCCCGAGCAGTGACGGTGACATTCATGGTTTACACTGCCCTACCCCGCCCCCCTTTTCTAGCCTCCATGCAGACTATGGTCTTTTTACTAAACAACTTCTTTCACATTTGCCTAGTTGGGACCATTTTGATTTGGTTTTGGC